TTTCTCCCCGTTTCTCTTTCCAGAATGTGGAGGATCAACACTTATTAATGCATGACCAGACAGTCATTAGAAAAGGTCAGTAAGGTGGCACTGCAGTTTGCTTTCCTTTGTCAATAGTTAAGAGTTTAATGATGCCCCGATGAATTGACGCGTTATTATCTTTTTAAAAGCCATCCTTTCGGATCAAAAAAGGGGTTTTTATTGCACTCTCTGTCGCTGGATTTTTCTGACTCCATCCAAGGGAAGGTGGTGGCAGGGGACAAACCCCCTGTGTGCCGCGGGGACAAACCCCCGGGGCTGCCCCGCTCCGGCGGTGGTGGCGAGACTCCTCCGGGGGTCAGTGGCCGTCCCTGCTCTTGTGTGTGGCTTTAGTCGAAACCAGGACCTTGGACTGAATTTATGCTGCCCTGGAATATGCGTGTGTACAGTGACACGGGGCTTTCTTCTTGTCGTTGCTAGTGCTCGAAAACAGTTTGGGTTTTTTTCCTTTTTTTTTTTTTCTTTCTTTCTTTTTTTCCTTCTTTACAAGACTGCAGAATAGGGAACGAGTTAGCTGGCATAAACCTGTTTAGGCTTTATCTTAATCGAAATGGTTTTGTAGCTGAGGTTTTAAGAAAGGAGGAAGACGTATTGACTCAATTTACAGTCTTTTGGGTTTTTTTTCCTGCTTTTGTTTTTAAACAAATTTGTGCTTTAAAAAAAAAATCAGTGGAAGTTTCCTCTGAAGACTTCAAACAAATACCTAACTGAGGAAAAGCAGAAGTGTTTGTCAGAGCGCTGATTGCTGCGTTTAGCTCATGGGAGAATAATTTCGCTGTCAGATGCACCACTGAAAAATCTTTCCCCCTCCGGGGAGCGGGGCAGACCTCGGCTCTTTAACCCTTTCCCATCGGTGCTGTGAGCCTGCAGCACACCACCGGGGGTTAACTGGGTGGATTCGCAAAGGGGTGGAAAAGCTGGATGTGTGGTTTGCTCCTTGCACAGCCTTTGTTGTCCCTACTCACCTAAAGGCTGAAGACATGAACGAACGAGGTTTTACTTTCAGTTTTCCTCTGGGTTGCATCCCTCTCTCTGTACTGTCTGTTATGAATTTGTTGGGATTAAATCCCAAAGGCAGTTTCTTAAATCTGCGGGTACGAAGTGAGAGAGGAACCCCAGCAGTAGCTGGAAGGCTTTTCCCTGCCCCGGCTCAGAAAGAGGACTGGAGGATGCTAATTTGGAGTCTGTAGTTGTATTGAACTTAGTTTCTAGGTATGGATTTGCTAAGTTGCAGCTACTGCTTGAGGGATGTGTTCTTTGTGCGTTTTTAAAAAGTATTCTTGGTTGTGTTTGGCTGCTCCTTGAAATTCATTGTGGGCAAATACAGCTGTTCAGGAATAGTTGTTGGGGACGTTTTCGGTCACAGCCGAGCCCCGTGCTGCAGGTAGATGCTGGGGACGGGGGTCAGTGGTGTGAACATTTAATGCAAAACGAAATCCTGTCTCCTGGTCTTTTTTTGTAGAAAGGAAATTCACTTGCTGCTTCCTATTTATTTTTCCCTTTTATAAAATTACCTGCTTTCCCTCCTCCTCCCACAGGTCCCATTTCTTTAACGAAAAACAGTGCTCTGAGTCTCCCCTGCCAAAAGGATGGATTAATTGGAGTGGTCATAAACCCCAATGAAGTATTTTGTTCCGTTCCGGGGAGACTTTCCCTCCTGAGCTCCACGTCGAAATACAAAGTGACAGTAGCAGAGGTGCAGAGACGGCTGTCGCCCCCCGAGTGTCTCAATGCCTCTTTACTAGGAGGAGTACTCAGAAGGTAGGCTGCGACTCCCTTACAGCCGTCCCCATCGGGTCTATTTGTGAGGTTGTGGTATTTTTTTTTCTTGTGCTTGTGTGTGTGAGCAGCCAGATTAGCATAACCAGGAGCTAAGAAACCTTTTAGCAAATTTCTGATTTTTAAGAAGCCCAACAACACTGAATCCTAATAGGCTTTGGAAATAAAACTTCTTTGCACTTCTGGTACTTCTTGAGAAAAGCTATTAACAGCTCTGACAGCAATTCTCATTCTCTGTTTAAAGTTGGATTTTTGTCTTAAAATGGACCTTTCTTATTCCTCTGTCAAACTGTTTCCCCATGGAATGATTTTTTTTTTTTTAATTAAATCTCGTGGTCTTGATGAATCATTGCAAGGACACTTTATAGGTCCTTTTTTGCATACACTTAATTTGGCTTGTGATTGTTCTACAGCTGTTGGTTTCGCTGGTGCAGTTTGAAACATTTTGATTTTGACCTCTGCTGTGTTTCATCCTGGCTGGTTTGTAGTAGAGCATTTAAAAAGTAGGTCACTTGAAAAGAGCCTGTTTTTTATCTTCTCCTGGTAGAACCCTATTGAATGTCAGTAACTGGAATTTCTCATCTTTAAAAAGTGTTCCCTGAAGATAAATAAGGCTTTTTTTTTTTTCTTTAATTACAGAGCCAAATCTAAAAATGGTGGCAGATCATTAAGGGAAAAACTGGATAAAATTGGCTTGAATCTTCCTGCTGGTAGAAGGAAAGCTGCAAATGTGACACTATTGACATCTTTGGTGGAAGGTCAGTTTTGAACGCGTCTTAAAATCAAATCTTTTCCCCTTGTGTACAGCTCTTATCCTCTAGGCAAAGCATGGAAAGGCTAGAAATAGAAAGTCAGTGAATGTAATAGAGAGGATTTTTTGTTTATTTTAAAGTGACCATGCTGGGGACATTGCAGCAGCTAACTGCTGTGTTGGGGAGAGGAGCCCCTCAAAGGCTTCTTCTCCCTTCAGATCTGGTTGCTAAGCCCTTGGCCTCGGAGGCCTGCCTGCACAAACCCAGCTAGTGCTCCTCTTCCTCCCGGCTGCACAAACCCAGCTAGTGCTCCTCTTCCTCCCGGCTGCGTGGCAGGGATGCAGTGACTCCTGCATGCCAAGCTGTTCAAACTGTTTGTCCAGCCTGCGTTTCCTGAGGGACTGGGTTGTTTGGGTTTTGGGAGGGTGTGTGCAGAGACAGGCGGGGAAAGCAAAGGGGTGAAACTCATCACATCAGTGGGTTGGTTTGGTTCCCTGCTGGGAAACTTAAAAAGTCTGGGGCAGCTGACTCCAGTGCCTGGCCCTACCTCAGCGGTATCCTCAGAAGCTTTTCTAATAAACAAGCATATAAAGTGAGATTTATAGCTTTTGACTTCCTGATGGGAAACTGGAGCCCCTTTAATCTGTAACATGTTATGTGGACCCTCTATCAGTTAAGCTGAGTTGAAGGGTGTGTGTATATACGTGTGTGTGGTTGTGTTTTGTATTCTGTTTAGAGCAGGTCCTGCTAGTGGTACAATTTATTTAATAGGAATAGAAACAGCAATTGAAAAGTAAAAAAAGATCTACCAGTACCTTACTGCTATTTCACTTCTACATCAGCTCAAACAGTAACACAACTTCCATTTTTACAGGTTTTAACCTTTCTTTGTAAGTTGGATTTCAGAGAGCTTATGTGCGTGCACATGCACACATGTACATCACAGATAACGCTCTGATCGTGCAACTCCATTTTTTTAAGCCTGATGAAATTGCTTCAGTTTAAAAAATGGCCTATTTATACGCCTTACAATTTTATTTTCTATTTGAAAATGCTTATTAGAAAGTATTTAGACAGCACACTGAACCAATAAACCCGTTATCATATAAGTGGAATTTGGTTGCCAGGTTTTTTAAATATCAGTGGGCAATTTGATCCAGACTGAATTCTAGTGTTTGCTGCACAGATAATCTGGATAGAGACAGGAATTTTTCTTTCCAGTATAAAAGCAAGAAAATTACTTTTTGTAGGAGTCACAATATAGGGTATTTTTTTTTCTTGATCCAAACTTACAAAGAAATACTGATCTATTAATTAGAAAATGGTAATGAGTGGTATAGTGGTAACATAGCAGTGTCCCTTTCTAAAACAGGAATACACTTCAAAAATCCACAGCACCTTCCTTGATTTCCCTGATCTCCTTATAATAAATAGCTGTTACTACATTTAATAAGCATTCCCTTTTCCCCACACCAGGTGAAGCTGTGCATCTTGCTCGTGACTTTGGTTATGTATGTGAGACAGAGTTTCCTTCCAAAGCAGTGGCCGAATATTTAACTAGACCACACATGGGCCGCAATGAAATGGCAAACAGGAAGAATATGCTTCTTGCTGCGAAGTAAGTTTTGAGCTTGGATTTTTTTTTTTTTCCTTTTAAAGATGCTTTTGTCTGACCATGAGTATCTGCGACTGGGGACAGTTTGGTATGTTTTCATGAGTAATTTTAATCGGGGAGATGAAGCAATTCTTTTTATTTGGTTTTGGTTTGAATTCAACTATGGCAGTAGTTATTTTAGTCTGAACCAATAATAATAATAACAACCCTGTACGATAACTCTAAAGCAGTTTGGACCAGTTCTGTTCTTTTTTCTTTTAACTGTAGTAAAAAAGAAAAAGGCCTGTGCCAGGACAGCTACATCTTGTAAGAAAAAGATGTCCCTAGGTCTGCCAGGGTTGAGGACCCAGGTGTGAGCTGGGAATGTGAACCAGTGTTAGGACTGGGAGCAGGGGATGGTTCATCCATCTCTGCGTACGTGCAGCCCAGAGGGGCATCTCCCAGGACAGTTACTGGTGGGCGTGCTGGGTGCTCACGACTGCTCTTGGCAATAGCAGCACACAGGTTCCCCCCATGGGACACTGGAGTCAAGAACTGTTGATAGTCCCTTTTCACAATTATGGCTGAAGATTGTTACAGTTCAGTGAAAGCCAACCTTTGGGAGATGTGACAAGTCCTTGCACTTTACTAAATTCTGGTTACAAACCTTGAACAGGGAAGGAAGGGTAAAGGAGAGAAGCTTTATGGCTGTTGTGCAGACACTTGCACCTGTAAATAAACCACATACTGAACAGGTCTCTGGTGGGAAATACCTGTGTTGAGTTACACTTAAACCGGCGGCTGGAGTGCTTACTGTCCCCTTTCCCCTGCCCTGGCCATACCAGCCTGAGGCTTAACAAAGCCTTCAGTTCCTAATCTGTTCTGGTCTGAGGTGTTTTCTGGTTTGGGGTTGATGCAGTTCCTTGCTTTTGAAAGCACCCTTGCTCTGCAGAGGGTCTGAGAAAAGCCTGCTTCAGCTGCTGAGGAAAGTTGCCCTGACCTTGGGCTCAGATCAGGGATGCAAACAATATACTCCTCTTGTTGCTGAATTAAACCAGCCTTCTCAAAGAAGAGACCTTTTGTTTACAAGAAATGTAGTCTTTCTCTTTCCTGTAGCTTAAGCCTTATGCTTTTTTACTGAGCACCACTTCTGCTCTTCAGTATTTTCATTACTGGTATTGTTACTGGCACTAATATCTTTTGGACAATGTTTGTGATTGAGAAATTCTGATAAACTGATGATTCTGTTAAGATTGCTCAGCTTCTGTGAAATCCCATCAAGGGGACAGATTTACAAGCAGCAAACAACATATGCTGGAGCGTTATTAACCATTTGTGTTTTGCCAGGCATATGTGTTAGTGTTTGCAGGATCAGGGTCTAGGGCTCTCTCAAAGAAGGCATATATGCACAATATGCACAACTAAACTGAATCTCCTCGTCAGCTGCTTTAGGCTTGCTAAATCACTTAACTGCAGCTGTGGAAGTTCTCATAGAAACTAGCCCTAAATTCCCACTCCCCCCTTAAAATCTAGAGCAAATAATGCAGAGCCAGCCAGACACCAGAGGTGGAGAGATTATTTTGCAGAGTGTGTTTGTGTTTTTGTGATGCAGATATAACAGAAGGTTCATCAGAAACTGGTCCTAAGAAATAGGCTTTAATTTTGGACATTGCTGATGGACTAATGAATTTCTGAAAATGCTAATTCCCACATAACTGCCAAATATTTGATATAGACTCTCTCCATTATTTGTATTTATTGATTTGATTTTTTGCATAAATTCCCACCGTGGTGTAAAGTGTGATTGCTTTGTGTCTTGCAGGCAGATCTGTAAGGAATTCACAGACCTCCTCACTCAGGACAGAACTCCTCTTGGAAACACGAGACCCAGTCCCATCTTGGACCCTGGCATCCAGGGCTGTTTGACTCATTTTAGCCTGATCACACATGGCTTTGGGAGTGCTGCCATCTGCGCTGCCATGACATCCGTCCAGAACTACCTAAATGAAGCATTAAAAATAGCAGACAAAACATACATGAACGCTGGCGACCAGAGCCCTGCAGAAACCAACAAAACCATTGATAAAATGGATAAGCACAGGAAGTAAAAGGAGAGAAACCAGACTTTAAATTCTTCTTCCTAAACACAGACTGGGATCTTCTTGGCAGGGGGAACATAGAGATTTGAGTTCTTTTTTTTTTTTTTTTTTTAAAGAAAGGAGGGGAAAAAAGGAGAAAAAAAAAATCATCTTATTCGGGATCTTCACTCCCCCTGGACTGGTGAGACAAGTCTTTCTAAAAGCTGCAGTATACCTTATCTGTGGAAGCAATTACCAGAAGATAAGTACTTGGTACAAGTGTATTGAAATCCTTTGCTGTAAAAGTGGTGCTATAAAGGGTTTTTGATGGAAATATACAAAGAGATATATTTAGATTTCTTTTCCACATCAAAGTATCTAGTGGTGACCAGCTTTGTGTATAGTTTAAGATACAGATTTTAGATGGAAGCCTATTTGTTATACAATTTCAGGGTTTTATTCTCTCTAAATGCAACAGTAACAATAAAGCAGTATTAAACAATGGTATATAGATTTATGTACATTAAAATTTTTTATAAACACCTGAAAATAGTAAGATTATTCTGTGGGTTATTTTTTTTGTTTGTTTATTTTATTTTGGTGGTTTTTCTTTTTTTATTTACAGATTACCATAGGAGAGTACTAAAATCCTGCTAGATTTAAAAGCTATCTGATGGCATTTGACATGCTTATTTTTATGGAAATATTCAGGCTTTTAAAACTGCAGTAATGTTGGCTGCAGTGGATGCTATCTTGATATTTTTTTAACAAGGAAAAGTTCAAAATGAAAATGCTTTGAGAAAATTCACTTTCTATGTCTAAGGATATTGCAGCTTTAGTCACATATTTATATTGTCTTGTTTTTAAATTGGGGGGAAACTTGAAAGAATAGGCACATAACCTTTTTTTAAAAAAAATTTCTTTTTTGCCTATTAAGGCCAAAAAATATTTCCAGGGAGGCTTTATGTGTATTAAGGGAAGCAGTGTGTTGAATGTAAATATTTATTTATGTGTAATTTAATCGGATTTGTAAATAATGGTGAACTTTTTAATACTTTTTTTTATAAATGGGTTTCAAATTTTAATTTTGGTAAGTATTTCAAAGGTAATGGGTACGCTAAACATATCTTTAGGTTTATGCACAGGTATGTTATACAGGGTATTTAAGACTTGGGTTTTTTTAAATATCTCAATTCTTGCCACTGAAGATTAAATCTAATCTGAGGTGTATGTTCACAAAGCAATAATTTTGTGCATCATTCACCTAATAACTGACTAGACATGCAAAATGAGTGTGTGAGTTAGTGTGTATGTGAATAATGGAGGTTCTGAACTATCTTTACATATTTGTAAATGTTCCCAATATAATTCTGATGTATATGATAACCACATAATAAAAATATTCTGGATAGAAGCATGGAATGTTTTGTTAACTGAAAACAGTTTTGTTTTCTTTCTATACTTCGGGAATGTGGGGTGAGTAGCACTACAGGACATTATGTATTGAGTCATAATTGCAGCACTTTGTTCGGATTAACAGAACAGAAATATGAAGCTGTTTGCCAGTAAAGCTAATGGTTTCAATTAAACATGTTATGTATCTCCAAGAATCTTTTTTTTTTTTTTTCTTCCTGAGATGTCATTATCATGCTAGCTGCCTGTTTAAATAGGCAGCTTAAACACAAACTGCAAGAGTTCCTCTAAATAAAAATCCATCCTACCAGCTCTGTCTTCTAGTGAATCTGACTTTATTAGAATAATCTGTCTCTAATTACAAATATTTTGTAAAGTCCTGGCATGTGGAAATTTGTTTAGGTCTGTTATCTGGTTTCAGCCCAATTTTACTGATTTCAGGAAGTTTACAGCATTTTGCAGAAGGTCCCCAAGTACTCTGTGCAGTAGTGGTAAGGCGAGGATCTGAGGCTTGCAGTGGTGTTCAGGGTCGTGGATGCAAAATAAATAGCCAAACACATTCTTGAAGAAAAATTTATTTTTTTTCCCCCCAGTGCTTTCTGAAATAGGAGCAATACGAACCTGGGCTTTATTCTGTCCTTGGCATTTCAACACCTGCTCAGTCTGTCAGGCGCGTGGCTAAGGCAAACATTAGGAGTGATAACCTGGGCATGACTGCGAGTAAGCACTTGGTTCACATCGTGGCAGCGTGTTTCTTTCACAAATGTGGAGAAGAGGCAATATGTACAATTTCTGAATACTTTTTCATTTTTCTTCTAAAGGCAAACTACTGGAGGTGTGCAGGGAGAAGAAAGGGAAGGGAAGCTGAAAGAAACGCAGGAATGTATCAGTGCTGAGGTTGGGAGTAAGCTGGCTTTTGAGTTGCAATCCAGTCTCTCCTAAAGAGGTGTGAAATTCCAGTCTTTGCATTTGCTAGACTCGTAGTATTTGAGAAATAAGCATTTTGGACCATCTTCAGACACAAGCACAGCTACAACATGCGATGACTAACAGACTTCTAAAATATACAAACAATATATAATTCAGACAATAACCAATAAATAATTATAGTTTTTATTGATTATATGTACACAGAAATATGCTAGTTATGGTAAAAGCCCTTTTACAGAATGTAATGCTAGAGTCCTGGGGTTTTCTTCTGTTCCTGCTGCTGGACTCCATATACTGCATATATAGTAAGATATTTTAGCTACCAGACAATGGGATCTTGCTTTTTATTAATGCGCAAAGCCAGGCTTTGAAATAATTGCCCCTTGGGATAGGAAATAAGGATGTTTCCATTTATTCCTGCGTGCATTCAAAGCCAGTCAATTGTCTAATGTACTGACTTAGGTTCTATTTATATGTCTGGAACATTAGAAATGTTGAGTTTCCATTACCTTAATGCTTTTCCTCTACTGTATATTTCAGATGGTACATTATTTTGAGGCTCAACTACCTTCTAAGCTGTGCCAGTAATACAAAACAAGAGCAAGGGCTTCTGCTCCATTCACTGAAGAGAACAGTTAAACTCTGCCCTGAACTTGTCTGTCATCCAAAATTATTAATCTGAAGGAAAACATTCATAAGTTAGTAACTTCCTGGGAAACTGAAAAAGCACAGAGTTATCTGAACACACAGGAAGGTATTTGTTTGCTTTTTCTTGATCCTCAAAATTTCTTGCTTTTTACAGCTTAGCCTGGGCTGGCTAAAAGAAAAAGTTCTAATGTAAGACTCCTCTGAAGTTCCATTTTTCATTTCCTTTGAAAAAGGAATACTCAAATGACTGTCCAATCTTGTCCTTTGCCCTTCTCCCAGAAAAATAATGGGATTGGTCTTTATATAAAGTAAAATTACTTTATTAGGATTTAAGATTAAAAATTCTGAAGTTGAAATGGACCATTTTAAATATTGCATTTCTGCAAAACTGTTACTTGATACATTCCCCATTCCCCCAAAACAGTTGAATCCACATCACTCAGAATAAAAACAGCTTATAGAAGAAAGAAAATATTTCAACCATTTTGCTTGGCGATCAGCAGTAGCTGGGCACCAGAGGATGCTGGGGTCTTCCCAGGCAGCACTGGAGCTGTGGCAGGCAGCAGGGCTCTTTCCTTCCCCTGGGGCAGCTGAGGGCATGGCCTTTGCACCCCTGTCCCCTGACAGGTGACCCGATTGTTACAGATTATTAATTGCAAACCTGATGATTATTCAGGACCGTGGCTCATTAAATCATCTGACTTCATGGCAGTGTTGCTTTCAGTTTAAAAAGCTTTTTTTCTAGTGTTCACAGCTTCAGAGAGAAATAATGACGCAAAACTAGTAATATATAAGAAAGCAAGGAAAAAGAATGAACTTCTGTCTTAATAACTGATTTCAGTAAACTTAGTTTTTGACTCTTTAGTTTTTGCTTTGCCCTTCCCTTGATTCACTGTTATTTACAAACGGTTCATCTCACCCTGTCTCTTTTGGCTGCAGCACTACTGCTGTCTATTCCTCTGCTCCCTCAGATTTTTGCAATACGAATAAACCCAGCAATGCATCTTGAAATGGGCCTAACTTGCTGTGATGGACTGCTGTGTTTATTTGTTTTAGTCCTCCTCTGTTTTCTCCCCTCATGCAATGTTTACGTACATCCTTGTTGTTGTTCTGGCCTAACGGTGTGCAGCCTCAGTCCTGGCAGTGGGCTTGGGCAGCCTTCTGGGACGTGCTCTGCAATAAGAGCTTGATAATTTTTTTTTTCTTTTGAAAGAAAAGGAAATTAGGGTGCTGTTAAGATTTCATCCCAAAACTGTTACTTCACTAAAAGACCATCACAGGGTTAGGGACAAAGACACTTCCCTCTCACTAAATGAAATCTCCAAAGTATAACAAGTTTCTGTTCATGGATATTTGCAGGTTTTTGTACAGGGAGCCTGGAGCCAGTTTTGCTGAGCGCTCTGGGGTCCCTTGGGACTATGACCTAAGGGCTGGTGGTGAGCCACAGGAAATGCATATGGAACCACGCAAATGAGAATTTGTTCCTAAACCCTGGCCACAGCCAGAGATACCGTGTCCACGTCTTTGCAAACTCTGTGCGTTACCCAAGCCAGTTGTGGTCTGTCATAACGTTTCTCTGGTGCCTGGCTATTGCTGCTGCCTGTTGCCTAATGCCACATCATCCACGTGGCTGTATGGATGACCATCTCTGTCAAATTACACGGGGCCTATGCTGGAACCGTGTTTTTAACAAATTGTTAAATTCTATTTTGTATCACTTGCTGCCTTTTCCCTCTTTCATTTTCATTTTAACAGGGTCACATCAATAAGCCTTCTCCCAGTTTCAGATGCCATTTCGCATTCATTGGATGTTCTTGCATGTCTTACAAGGATGTTCCAGCTGGTTTCCCTGTGCCATTGTTGTGTGAGGGCTGGCCACAAATATGCCATTTTTCCTGTCTTTTGGCTGAACAGCCCTTTCTAACAGGTTCTTGTGAAGGCCTTACGCACAGGCTACTACTATTCCATGACACATTCCCTGAATATTCCATCTGATCTAGAGTTTTACCCATAATTTAAAATTAAAAATATGTAATCAT